AAAGAAAATTGTATGACTGACATGACGCCAGTTTTCACTTATCCCAAATAAACCCTCAAATGAAGGTTGTCATGGCTGAAAATTTCAGACATTAGAGCCCGCATGGCAGTAGTGGCTTTTCCCAATCGATAATAAAAATGGTGTGTGATATTACAAAACATTATGTGAGACGCGATTGACTTACGGAAAATACAACAACAACTAATGCTGTTTTTCAGTTTGCCAAAATTGAGTATCATTCAGAGACATTTCAGCGCTATTTTAGTTAAAAAATTTACAAAAATGAATTCCATACCTTTCACTCGGAACGATATCGTTTAGCAACTTCAGATCCAGTGAAAGCCTTGCAAACTCTTGCATATCACTGACAAAACAATCAAAGATTGCATATTGTACAGGAAATAACAAAAAATCTAACAACACTACATAATTTGCCAAAATCGATGCATAACATACAGTTTAAGCCCTATCTGGAAAATAAAAAATCCTATCTTTGGCTTATGAAATTACCTTTCACTTCGGCTGTTAAAAACCGTACACAATGAAATAAGTCCTGAGAAGAAAGGCTGACATGTCATGCAGTTCCTGTTCTGTTCCATTGCAAAGAAGGCAAATAATTCTCGGTCTTTGTGCCTTGTTCTTGCCCGAAGACCCTGCATGTTTGGTATCAAAATTTTCAGAAAGAGCCAGGCTTTCTTGGCCTGCAGTTTTCTTGTACAGCAGTTTAAAGTTAAGCCTGCAATCGTTTTGTATAGCAGTATCAAGCATCTGCGCAAAAGCATCTCGCGGGAAATGCGCACGAGAATTTAATTTTCATGTTTACTATTTCTCGGACCACTGCAAGTAAATTTTTTTCGCTGTTATTTAAAAGAATCGTAGAAACAGTTTCTTTAGAAACTACAAATTCTCAATGTCTGACGTACTGAGTTATTATGACCGGCAGCAGTATTTCAACTGCATCGACATTGATTCAAATCACAGTTTACAATATATAGCAAAGCAATGTGTCAACAGTGATCAGATTCTTCTAACAGTAAACGTAACTAACAAATGTTTAAAAAGCTGGTACGAGTTTAAGGAGCAAAAAGCGTTTCCAGATGTGAAGTTCATTGACATCGCAAATGCATCGATCGGTGAAAGGTTTGGGATATTGATAAGAAGAGACTGCAAAAGAATTGAAAATCACTTTAGGAGGCCCACGTCCACAGTGAAGAGCCAGTTTGTTGGAAAGTCCAGCAAAAACAATGTAACATAAAGATAGCCATACGTAAGGGGAAGTGCAAAACATTTCTGAAGTCGAGGAGGAGTTGAAAGAACAGAAGAAACAAAACAAAATACTGCAAGAGAAAACTGAAGATTTTCTACTCGAAAAAGATCTACATGAGCTAATGGATCAACTTCGGGAAGACTTAAGAGAGAATAGAGGAGCTGTAGGCTGATTTAAAATTGGTGAACAAGGAGAATGCCCATTTGTCTCAGTATGTAGAAAAATTGGAGAAAATTGAGAAACTAGAAAACACAGGCAAGAAATTTACTGAAGTCCATGAAAAACAACAGCAGAGGAAACTAGGAGAGTTAAAAACTAAGGCTGAAAGAGCTCTATGGTTCGCAGAGACTTTTGGCCTTAGGTTAAGCTCTTTGGAATTTCTAGATCACAGTGGTAAGACTCACAACATCAATTACCAAGGCCAAGGAGCTAAATCATTCAAAGAGTTGTCCAAAGAAGACCAAGATAAAATTAAAGAGATTGTTTACTTAACAGACAAATTTTGCATAGGGGAAGCAGCTTATCGTGAGCTCACATTAGCGTGTGGAGGGGAGAGTCTACCTAGGTCTTACCTGGTGAGGCAAAGCAAGAACCAGCTAAATGAGCTGGTCCACATACGAAGAACCCCTGGTACAGCAGAAGGAGCTCAACTTGACTTTGAGAGTGAACTTCAGAACACAATAAGGAAACTGGTAAGTAATTCAGTTTAGTGTTCTCAACCAGTTGCAGTCATT